AAAGGCAAAGGCAAAGGCAAAGGCAAAGGCAAAGGCAAAGGCAAAGGCAAAGGCAAAGGCAAAGGCAAAGGCAAAGGCAAAGGCAAAGGGAAAGGGAAAGGGAAAGGGAAAGGGAAAGGGAAAGGGAAAGGGAGAACAACTGTGCTAAAATCTAACAACCGTCACGTGGCAGGTGGGGAATAATGATAATATATCATTAATATTTATCACGAAAGGTAGCCCTTTAGGGGATACCTTGAGTTTGTCTTGCGAAGCAAGTGTTGGGACGTCCGGGTCATATAATTGATTATTTAATTCAATTCAAAACCACCCCCCCCCCCCTCGATTTGATCTTTTAATACAGACCCCCCCCTTAATTTAATTCTTTCCTGGAGAACGTTTTCGTGAGCCTCTCATGATTTCAGGATAATTGAGGCCCTCTTGAACGTTTAGAAACAATGCATAATCACGAAAGGTGTTCCCCGAGGGAATATATATCTAGAATTTGTTTTGTGAAGCACGTCAATTTCCTCTTGGGGAACGTCTTCGTGAGCCTTTTATGGTTTCAGGATAATTTAAATCTTATGATGTTCCGATTCAATGTTCATCGATGATCTGAGCCATGGAACAAGTTTGCTTTCCTCAGAATCTTTTTGAATTAGAATACATATGAACATATATTTACAATAGGTAGCTTCCGAGGGAATAAATCACCATGTCGAACATTGCATTTTTGTTCCTGCCTCTCGCATTTTCTTCTCTTCCCGTTGTCCTACCTTTCATGTCTCCCTCCTCTCAAATTAAATATAATATACAAATAATATAATTAATTGGCTAGGATTTATATTTTATATATATTATTTTGAATTTTTGCATTAAAATTAAATATTTTTTATTAATTAAAATTATACATTTATAATTTAGATACCAAATTATTTTTAGAGATATATTTACATTGAATTTTTAAATATGTATATATATATTTTATATATGGAATATGTCTTTTATGAATTATATACGACTTAAATTATAGAGGAAATTTTGATTTATGGTGGCATATTTTTTGTGAATTATTTAAGGATATTAAATTCTGGAGGAGGAAGATATTATTTAAAGGCAATTTAATTATTATTCATTATATGGAATTTAAATTTCGAAGAATTAAATAATATTCTAAGGTAATATATATTTTATTAACGACATAAACAATAAATTTAAAGGATTCATATATTATTATAGGATAATATATTTTTTGTAAATTATATGGAAATTGAATTTAAAAGAATAATATATTATTTTAAAGGTAATACATCTTTTGTGAGCTACGCGGAATACAATTTAAAAGAGAAAGGTATTATTCAATAATAATATATCTTTTATGAAAAAAATATACAAATAAAATATAGAGGAGGAATATGTTATTCCAAGATAGAATACTTTTCGAGACCTATATAACATTTGAATTTCGAGGAATGGATTTCAAAAACGATATTAGGAACGGTTAGGTGCGAAACGCTTCAAAACCCCTAGGAGTCCCGGTCCTTAGCCCTTTAGCATGGTTTTTACAATCTTAATTGGGATCTATCCGATTTTATAGTATCAAGCGGTCAAGGGCAATCGTCCATTTGGTCCTCTAGCTGGGACGTGCCCGACCTTGGTCCATAGATTAATTTTGGCAACCACCATAAACAATTAGTCATGGATTACCTATAAATATTTCCCCACGATTTTTTCCTATTCCTTACTATCATTCGCGAGGGGCACCTCTATCTATTAAATTTCGAAAACGACGTTAATTACGGCTAAACGCGAAATGCTTCAAAACCCCTGGGAGCCCGATCCTTAGCCTTTTAATGTAGATTTTACGATCTCAATTGGGCCTTATAATATCAAACAAAATCGCGTTATTGGTCCTCCATATAGGACATATACAATCTTAATCGGCTATTAATTTTATTAATTATCATAAATAATATTAATTATCATAAACAATAAACCATAAATTATTTTAAATCCTATCTTAGATTTTCTCCTATTCCCTATTAAAAAAAACATATTTTTAACACCTCTATTTATTAAATTTAAATTACGAAATTAATTATAATTAGACGTAATATATTTCAAACTCCCTAAAAATAAAAAATTTTAATACTTAATATATTTTTTATTCACAATTAATACCTAACCGACATTATACCTTACAATATAAAATATAATCGGACTTAATTCCCAAACATATACCACTTTTGCAAATTACCATAAACAACCAATAAAATATCGATATATTTTATTAAAACATAAATTTTAATTTCCTTTTAAATCCAATTCATTTCTTTTCTATTTATCTTTATTTCCTCCAATTTCCTTTTCATGCCCATTCGATTTCTTTTAATTATCGTTATTTTAATTTTTATTCCTTTACATTTCTTTTAATATATTCTTTATTTATATAATATTTGTCATTCCTACATTCGTTCTGTTTCTATCTGTCTTTTCATTCCTTCTTTCGCCCATTTATTTCATTATTATTTCCTTCTAATTTAATAATATATATATTTTTAATATGCATTTGTTAATCATTCCTTTTCAATTTTCTATAATTTCCATTTCATCATGTTATAATTCGTTTATTTATATTTAATTCAATTTTTATTTATTTTTCATTATTTATTATTTCCTTTATTTTTTTAATTTTTAAATCCTCAATTTTTCCTTTTAATTTATTATTCCTTCCTTTAAATGCTATATTATTTTCTTTTTATTATCCTTTATTTTCATCTATTTCATTCCTATCCTACCGTTTACGTTCCTATTCCTATCTTTTTATTTCCTCAAAAAAATATTTCGTTATAATTTATTTTAACATCTATCTATATAATTTTTTTTTCATTCCTCTTAATATCCTTTTAATTCATTTTCTTTAATTATTATTAATTCGTTCTTAATTCCTATTTATGCATTATTTCAATTCCTTCTATTCTTTTATTATTTCCTTTTCATTCTTCCTCATTTCCTTAAAATACCTATTACTATCCTTTGCCTTCCTCTTCCTTTCTTTTTATTCCCAAACAAATAAGACAAAAACAATATATATACACAATACATCCTATTTATTCCGTAAATATCTTTATTTCAATTGCTCCAAATCGAAATCGACGACACCCGGACGTTAGTCCATTCTATAAAATCTTAAAACCAATTAATTTAAAATAATCATTAATTCATTATATTTTAATTTCCAATTATTAATTAATATATATATATATATTATAACAAATATATGCATTTTTATTGAATATATTTATTTATAAATTAATATAAAAATAATATTGAATATATATATATATTAAAAAAAATATATTTATCTATTTTAAATCAATTACAATATTTCAACATCTAATTAATTTCGGAATATTTCGGATAATTGATTTTCGGTTGCAAGGGCCACAGGGTTGATTCAAAGAGAAAAAGTTGGCGACGTCTCCTGAATCTGCTGTTCAATGCAGAAGTGAATTTCTTTCATTTCGACATCATCGCTGGTTTTACGTTCATCACTACATACTTGATCGCGGCCATCAGGGTGTGCGTCCTCAACGATCTCAACGATCTTCTTTTCCCCAGATCTGAAGGGGTTCCGTCCGAAAAGGCTTCGCAGAAGGACCGGGCCAATGCGAGGAATCCGAACCACGCGTGCAGGCCCCGCCAGCGAAAGAGCGATGATGATTGGGTTCAGGACGAAGGTGTAGCCAATCTCATAGGAAAGTCCCTTCCACAAACCCAACAAAGACGTAGTAGCAAATGGAATGATCAGAACTTCAGTTTTCTCAGCAAATGATTTTCTCTCTGTTGGCATCAGAAGGAATAATATCAAAAAGCTGAGACTTTCAAAAGCAGCTAAAGCAAACAAAATGTATCGAAAGACTTCAGGTCCAACCGAGGGCTGATCATAGACCTCAATCACCCTGCCAAGGTAGATCTGGTTTGGATTGACAATCCACCAAAGGAGGCTCAGTGCAAACATGGACCGACTCCAAGTAGAGATATCTCCCAAAGAACCGGCACGAACAACGACACCTTGCAGCTCTGGCTTGGAAAAGTTCATGTCCAGAAGTACAGACACTGCCTTACTTCTTCAGAACATCAAAAGGTTTCAACACATTCTTCTGAAATGCCCCTAAAATTTAAAAACTTGGCTTTAGAGCAGGCGAGCTGCAGCATCTACAGCATCTTCGCACTTTCCTGATTCTATCTCCGACATGATTCGCTCCTGATCAGCTGGATTCGCACTTTGTGCGTGCCGAATTCCCCGAAAGCCTTCCCTCAGCAGCTTGGACTGCTTGCTACCTTCCACTGCCAAGAGTCGATCTGCCTCCAACCCAGCGGCGATGAAAGGAACCAGAGTGAAGAAGAGGACATTGTTAGACCTCTTGAACGACTTCCCGTAGGAGTCTACGGCCCTTGCAAACCCAAAGAGGGCGCCCCACAAAATGATGCTCACTTGCAAGACTCGGCTCGTGTGACGATTTGTTTTAAACAGGTAGGTCACTAAGAAGGTGTCAAGAGCAAGTGCTACCAGGGTAATCGTAGCTAAAACACCCGTGAAATTGGACAATGGCGGGAATGAGCTCACAATAAACACAGATGCACCGGTATTCGTCATGCAGGCACAAGCCACACGCAGCAACTGTAGCCAATAGTGAGGCACCGGTGCCCGGGCGGTTTTAATGGGCTTCCCCCAACTATATGCCAGGAAGGCCTCATAGACGCACCAAATGCGAGTGTAGATACTCCCCTTCGCATTGGGGATCACCAGCATCTGTCGCGAATTCCGAAGGCACTTGGCAAATGGCGAGTCCTGAGGACTTGCAATCAGCTCTCCGATGTCCAAATTTTGCGGATTGGACCTGATCACCAGGCTTTGGGAGAGGTGTTGCAACAAGATGTTCCATTACTTTTTACCACCTGAGAAGCTGCAAAACGAAAGCCAGCGCTTCCCTTTCTCGACAACTGCGCGTCGAAGCAATCAAATGAGCTCGCGCAGCCGCTTGCGGCCGCGTGTCAAATCTGCTTCATGTCTTGTTCTGCCCACACATAGGTAACCATGTCAAAACAAAAACAATGCACCCTTTTGTTCAAACAAACAGTTTTTCAAGCTAAATTCAAGGTGGCCTGAGACCAGGGTTTGCTGCCCTAAAACACTCTGTTCAGGCCACCTTCAAAATGACGGTCTGCGAAGCGAGAGCAGAGGATGCATGTTGTCCTTCTGCTGCTTGAATGTGACATATACCCTTCAATAGGAACTCGAACAGCTCAAATCCAGAAGATTCTGAAAATGGCCTGGCTCCCTATATGAACCCTGGGAAGACTGGGAAGCGAGGAGGTGGAAACTCCTTTCCTCTCGCTTCGCAGACCTTCATTTTCAAGGCGGCCTGAACAGAGTGTTTTAGGGCAGCAAACCCTGGTCTCAGGCCACCTTGAATTTAGCTTGAAAACCACCGCTTTGAAGCCTCATGCGCGCGATACCTGGGAACAGAATTGTAGCTACCCTGGGTCCGTATAAATACTGTGTTGCTATACCTCTTGCACACCTATACAAGTTCAAAGCACGAATGAGACTTCAAAGCTGTGGATTGCTGTGCGTGTGTAGAGGTTATCGAGCGGCTGACGGAAAGGGAACTTGAAGTACTATACCTGGTAGCTGCACTATAGCTACCCTGGGTCTCTATACCTG